ACACACACACACACACACATGTAACAGAGAGCCCTACTGAGCCCAAACCTACACAAATACAGACACCCAGGCGCACACAGGCAAAATTAGAGGCACACACACATACGCATTGATACAGACATAAACTACACACACTGGCAGACACACACATAGAAACGTCTCCATCCATCCACACACACACACACGCTTCCCCTGGAGGAAGGCACGCATGTGTCCCGTCGCTCCTCTTTCTCTCTCTGACAGCAGCGGTCCTCTGTGGTTGAACAACTCAGGCTTAGCCTAAGCCTGCCTAAATGGCTGGCTGACTGCCTGACACACACACACACACACACACACACACACACACACACCTCTGTTTCCCTGCCCCTTCACTGCTCACACCGCTCCACACACAGGATCACAGCCGTCTGCCAGCCCTCTGCATTCATCCTATTTTATCTCTCCCCCCCCCGGTCTCCGCCGGTCATTCATTGTGCAGCATATTGTTGTCTGTGTACAGTAGCCAGCGCTGACGTCAGGCCCGCGGATCCACAGAGAAGTGAGCGGCGGGCCCAGCAGCGCGTTCAAAGCCTTGCTGGCCGGCTTCCTGGGCCCCCCTCACTGCCTCTGGGGATTCTAACACTCTCTCATCGATCACCTTCGTGCCAACAGAGGTGATCATGTGGCCAGACCGTAATTATTGTTGCTGTAAATAAAGAGAGGTGTTTTGCAGGACTTCATTCTTATCATTCAGCCCCGCTCCCACCAGGGATTTCTTTTTCTTTTGTTTTACCACCATATCTCTCACCCTCCTTCTTTCCATGCTTCTTGTCTTGCGCTCCTTTTAGCATGTATTTTTTTCTCAAAGGCTAATGAAAACGCTGCAGACCTCTGGCGCTCTGAATGAGTGTGTTGGACAGTACATTAATACTGCTCTTAAGAAGAGAGAGAGATAGAGAGAGGAAGCCAGAAGAGATGGTGTGTGTGTGTGTGTGTGTGTGAGGGGGGGCAGGGTGGCGGGGCGCTGTATAGAGGATAAAGGTTGGAGCGGGAGAGCGCGAATCTGGAAATTCAATTATAACTGTGCCCTGGCAGTAATTCCACTGCTGGAAACGGGACGGCAGAGCGGAGAGAAGGAGATGGATAGAGACGGATGGAGGGCGAGAGTGAAAAGGAAAAGCGGAGAAAGTTGAGGAGCAAAATGGATTCAAGCGAGCTGGAGAAGTGCGACGTCCGTGTGCGCGTCTCTATTTCACGATTTTGAAAACGCGGCCTCCGCTTTGAACTTGAATGCGCGCACTTCGCGGCGCGTTATTTGCGAGAACGTTCGGGCCAAGCGTTTTTTACCCCCCCCGCTGCGCATCTTAGCTCTCAACATGCCACCTCGACGGCGTTGGCCCTGATCTCATTAATGCAGAAACAAGGTAGCTGGATCAACCCGCGTGCATTCCCCCCCCATGGGAGGGGCAGGTTAGCCTTTGATGTGGAGCGAAGCGCAGAGAGAGAGAGTCCTGAGGAGCCAGAGGGATTTCAGCTCCACCTGACTCCGCTCACCATGCAGTCCACAATGGAAACGCACTACGAAATCGCTCTCATTCAAGTATCCGAGAACATAAACCCACCAGCGTGCATGCAGGAGTTTGGGCCCATGCACAGTAACGAACTGCAGAGTCTCGTCTACGCTAGACTTTCCTCACCTCCTCCTCTCCTTCTGTCCGGCTCAATATTCTGTTTCGACACCGGTGGCAAAGCTCGGGTATCGGTCTGTGAGCGATGTTTATTGGCGAGTCTGTCTCCGACTGTACTGATGTTTGGACCGTTGTACATTCTGTATCTCTCGTATTCAGATTTAGCCTCTCCATTGGGAAGGGACTTAGTGAATGTTTATGTGTGTGTGTGTGTGTGTCATCCCTCGTGTATACATCGTCCTAATATCCAGCGCCTTGCAGGTTACATTGAGGTTGCGTTGTTCCAACACGGTGTGTCATAAAACAAATTGATGAAAATGATCAGTGAGGTTAAGGACGGCGGCTTCGAGTCCCCAGGACTTCGCGCCCCCCCCCCCCCTGTGTGCAGACTCATTAAAAGAGTCATAAAGGCAACTAATGAAAATCATGACCGGGATCATTACAAGCCCACTGGTGTCCTCTCGCCTTTCTCCTCCATGAGCGGGAGAGAATAAAAGGCAGCTAAATTAATGTTCCCGCCATGTCACAAAACCCAACCGCCGTCCTTTAAGCAGTGTCTGTTCTCCTCTGTGTGGAGAGCCGGCTAAATTAAAGTTCAGGCCAATAATGTTACGCAAACCACTCACGCTCTTCCGTTCCTCCTTGTCTCTTGTCATTTCCAGGATGACGACTCCATGTTCTTCCAGTTCGGCCCCTCCATCGAGCAGCAGGCTTCGGTCATGCTGAACATCATGGAGGAGTACGACTGGTACATCTTCTCCATCGTCACCACGTACTACCCGGGGTACCAGGACTTTGTCACCAAGGTAACGGCACCCGGCTGAGACGACACGCGCAAGCAATCAGGCATTGAGGGCACTTTGGTGTCACAATAGAAATGTTGCAGCCCTGTCATGAATAAATATAGATTTTGTATTTATATAACGCTGATTAGAGACAGGTTTGCTTAGTGTTCAGTGGAACTCTATATTGGACCTCTGAACCTTTTCTTATAATCCCAATTTTGAAGATTTCCGTCCTCGCCAATCCTCATACGATAATGCAAACATGACTATGGAACTATGTCACGCTACAATGAAACAGTACGAGTCTCTTCTGTCTTCTGATCCGCCTCTCCCCCCTCGGCCCCATCCAGGTCCGCAGCACCACCGAGAACAGCTTTGTGGGCTGGGAGCTGGAGGAAGTTATACTGCTGGACATGTCGGTGGATGACGGAGATTCTAAGATCCAGAACCAGCTGAAGAAGCTCGGGAGCCCCGTCATTCTTCTCTACTGCACAAAAGAGGAGGCCAACACCATCTTCGAGGTGGCCCACTCTGTCGGGATCACTGGCTACGGCTACACGTGGATAGTGCCCTCGCTGGTAGCTGGAGACACCATTGTAGTGCCTGCAGAGTTCCCCACAGGTAGGAAACCTGCTATAGCAGGGGAATGAAAAAAAAACTCCTTAACTGCATACACATAACATATTCTGCATTAACCTTTTGTTGTGTAACCATGTCTTCAAACTTGGGCGCAAAGGGTGTTTATTAGTCGGCTCTGTTGGACTTTTTGACGGTATTCATAGTTGAAAATGCTGACTCACTGCCCAGTCTTGCCTGATTTGACGGTGTCAGATGGTTACGTTTTGTGGTTCTTGCTTCCATATTCTGAGGCACAGTTTGGTTCAAGATGTTTGGTGTTTTAGTGGCATCACTGGCTCGCCCCAAAATGATGCAGCCTATTCTCCTCTCAGATACGACGAACAATGATTCCTTAGTCTACTGATCCTCAAGTGCATGTTTTCACCGTTGACCTGTCATTTATTCGTATGGCTAGTTCTAAAGATGGCATTTCAAGTCTGCTAAATGTGGCTACCAGGCTAAAAAAAAGGGACACGGTGACGTGATGGCAATGTGTCACTCGCAAGCAGTCCAGGTCAGGTTGTACTGACATTTAGTTTGGGGTTCGGATTCAATCGTCTGTTGGTCTGGCTTAAGACCCGAGTCCACCTCTTGAGTATACGGGGGTGCTGTATGAAACTGAGGTCGAAATCAGGAATTCAAATTGGATCCCGTTTCTATCTGACACAATCTCAGTGTGGAAAGATCTTTGCTTGCCTTGAGCACAAATGCTAATCCCGCTGTAAGTAGAGTAATTACATTATGTGCAGCGTTTGGTTGATGTCTATCCAAAGAGCGCGCCGTGAATGCATGCGTTCTCTAACATAGGTCGCCCCGGTCTGATCCAGAACCATCAAAACTGCGTCTTGATTCCCTCCTGTGATCTTTCGTCTTTCAAGAGTTGCATTGTCTCACTTTAAGAAGGCAATTTTTTTTAATTTCACAACCTTTATCATCAGCTAATGGAGACTAAGATGCAATTAAAAGGTTCCAGAAAAGGCTAAGTGGACTTTATTTTGTCAAATTACCACCCCAAGGACAGGAATGAACATTTGTATTCCATCAGTGAGGACGGAGCTTGCGGTTGCAATGCTAACAGCACTAATGGCTAGCTTGGAAGCAGCAGTGTCACGTCGTGGTGGTTTTGAGATTCTGCTATTTGGATTTGTTCTTCAAGACCAAAAAAACAAACTGACCTTTCCTAATACCAAGTGAGGGAGCGTCTCTCACCGCCGCCCCATGCCTCAACACCACTGGAGGTCATTCTAACCTTTGAAGGTAAAACATGGAACCAAAGTGACATCTATGTTGGGGTGCATTAAGCAGTGAACCTGCTCACGCAATCTGTCAAGGACACCTGTCAGACCGCCTCATGTAACGGGACTTTCAGCACTTGGGGGGGTGGACAGAGTCTTTTAGAAAGGCCAGGTCTCGGTGGGGAAACCGACCTGCTTCTGATGGCGAAACCGTAGAACTTTCTGCGACTTCAGTCTGTTTTAATGTCAGTAGGACAGAAAAACTTTGGGAGCAGGTAGGTATATTTACGCGGGACATACCAGCCTGATAATTTGTTGGTGTTTGGCCTTTGTTTGATTTACAGTGAAGGGGGAGATATTACACCGCTGCTTGTCCTCAGCAGTTTCTGGGAAATGGTTGTGCCAGGCGGAACCTGAGATCGTTGTGCCGCTTAAGCACCGTAACTCAACCCCCCCCCCCTCTGCTCCCTTATTGGCACCCATGGATGATTTACTCTGAATGGGAGTTGGGAGTGTTTTAGCGAGCCTGTTTGTGTGCCCATGAGCGTGTTTTCGCGCGATGTCTGTCTGCGTGCGTTTGTCTGCGAAATGTTGGTTTACGGTTTAATTTTGGTGAGAAAATAATGGCCGAGCGCAATGAAATGGGTTGCGTGTGTTTGTGCTTTCGCGTGTACCTCATACGGCGGAGGGCGAGAGTGATTACCTGAAGGCCAAGGGGGAACAAAACCGTGTGTGTGTGTGTAAGTTTGTCAATTCCAAATTAAGGTTACACTCTATAAAGTTTGATAGATCACCAAATCAGTTATGTAAATCACACAGCAACACCGCTCTTGATTTATGTTGCCAGAGAGATAATCGTGACTAGCTCATGCTCTGCCTGGGTGATTACAAAGTGGAGCTGGCAGAGAGGCCGCGTTGATGGACACAAACAAACCTCTTTCAGCTCGCATTGAATTATCATGGGATTAATCTCGTGGGACACAATGACGGATAGCGGGCTAAATGTCATCCACTCATTCAACGCGTGATGAATAGGATAGAGAATGTGCCTATAATCTAACATTAACAACAAAATGACAGATATTTAATCATTTATATTTTGTTTTTAGCTTAAATAAAGCTTTGTTTGTTGGAAAAATCATATAACAGTGTATGTTGAGTCTAAGTCTGTGAGCAGAGGGCTGAGCCTGTGCTCACGGCGCTGCTGCTGCAGGATCTGTGCTTGTCAATGCTGCTCTCTGCCAACCACATGAACATGAAGGTAGGATGTTACTTAACAGCTTCAGCAATGACTTTCTATCAAACCGCACTTTCATGAGATAGAGTGACCGTTTCTTTTCTTTTTTTTTGTTGCTATGAGAAAAGGACAGATACTGGCCTGAATTAACCTTCGATGAAGAAGATGCTGCTGTACCAAAAGCAAGAGACGGGCGTTATATTTGTAGACATTTATTTAGGTATTCAACTGTGCAACTCAATAATTCAACAAACCCCTGTATTTCTGAGTTTCAACCTCGGCATCTTCAAAGCCACACGGAGCCTGAAGTCGACCACACCAACTTGTGAGCTAACACAGAGCGAAAGGACACCGTGGCACAGCATGTCCCTGATGGCGCGGCGGCGTGTACGCTCTGGGTGAAACCAGCGGTTCAGGGTTCGGCAGAAGGTGCACGCTTGGCGTGGGGGGGGCGGGGCTTTGCTTAGCTTACTAGGCACACTTAATAAGAGCCTCAAATCCTCATGGGTAATTCAACTGGTGCCTTCTTTAAGTGCCGCTATGGGGAACCATCTCTTTTCCCACTCCCTCCCTTCCTTCTTTCCTTTTCCTCCTTATTTCATTGCTGTTGTTCCCTCACGTCTCTGTCGTTTCTGTCTCACTATTTCAGCCTCCTCTGACTCTCTACGAACTCTCTACTCCCTTTTTTCCCCCGTTTCTTCCGCTTCTTTATCTTTGTGTTGCTGCCGCTGTCTGACTTTTTCTCTCTGCCCACTCCGTCCCTCTTTTTCCTCCCCTCCCCGTCCCTCTCTCTCTCTCTCTCTCTCTCTCTCTCTCTCCTACTAACAGCTTTTCTGTCTCTATTCTTCCTGATCAGTTACACACTCCTGCTGCACGCACTGTGCTACCGTAACCACCCAATCGGACATCACTGACAATAATAAGCTGTTTCCAAAAATACCCAGTGATACGGTAGTTCTGCTATTACGCTCCCGACTCAATTTGCCTGCACGTGGATGCTCTCCGTCTGCAGTCTTTGTCATTTTTCTTCTACATGTGCGAATCTGTGACAGGGAGACGGCATTCACCTTCAAACCGAGTCAGTAGCCAGTTTACGGGCCAGAAAAAAATGGCTTTACAGCTGGCACAGTGCTGTTCGGCTGTAACGTTGCCAGTTGTGACACGCCTGTGTTGTGACACTAACACATGTCCTGAGAGATGTATGAACATGTACACTTCACGCTGCAGTTCCCAAGATGCAGATAAAAAACACACACTGCATGCCCCTGCACGGCACACACACCTTCCTATGAAAGAATCGTTGCCTCACATAATAAAAGTGAAGTGTGCAAAAAGGAGCGAGTGGCAGGAGTGAGTGAGTGAGTGTGTGAGAAAGTGTCAACAGTGTGTGACATTAGATGTGGTCCTGGAGGGCCGGAGCTGTCAGTGCTGGGGGCCCCGCGAGGAGCGGCAGGTTGCCAGGGCCGCCTGTCTATTTCTGCCCACTGACACGGTAGTGGAGCGGCTGACATGTGGTCATACTCTGTCAGATAGATGCAGACCGACTGATGGACAGAGAGGGGGGATAGATAAATTGACTCAAAGGCAGTCCGCACTTCACTGAGAGCTCTGTGACCCGAACCCAGAGGCGTCCGGCAGGTCGCGAACAGAAACATCAGTTAGTGGCCATTTTTAGAAGTCATAAAGGGCGACTTCGTGCCGAGGGTTTCGATAATGGGGCTTATTGATGTGGAAGATTTTCTACGTTGAATTGGTGCATAGTTAGCCTGGGCATGCTAACGTTTGCAGCTAACATTAGAGCAGCTGAACACACAGTTTAACCTAAGGCTGGGCGATATGGAGTCACTATATTATACGATATTGTATGGTTGACCGTAATGCAGCCTTTAAAATCAATCATTTTAGCCATATTGCGGTTTAATCCAAAATCTAAGACAATATCTTGTCTCATATCACGATATCGATATGTCTATATATCAATATATTGCCCAGCCGTAGTTTAGCCCATTCCTCACACTTTCGTTCTCTTGTTTTTGGTTTTAAAAAGCTTGTCAGGTCTAGTTACGGCTGCTGTGATTGGACAGTTGCTGTTCAGGGGTAGGGGTTAAGCGAACGTCCATTAGTCATGCTGGGCAGACCAGGGCGAGGAGAGTAACAGCTGCCTTGATGTGAACCTCGAGGACGGTCCTGAGCGTCTAGCTGCTCTACTGGACGTGCTAATTTGCGCCGATTGTGTAATTCCACGGTCGTTTGGGTGGTCGCGACCCGAACATGTTCAAAACATTAGACTCTGTCCAATAAGGACCTGTGACCTTAAACCCAACATGCATCAATTATTTTGAAAAAAAAAGTTATCCAATTTCTTAATGAATAGATCCAAAACAATTAGACTCCATGAGAGCCGAGAGAGCCCGAGGACAATCCCACCTGTTAGCTCCAAGCTGCTAAAATCCTGACCGCGGTGAACTAGAGAGCTAAATGATTGGTGATTAAAAAGAGATAAACATTGCACACACCATAGGCTCAGTGCTTGGGCTTCATGCACTGTGTGTCATCAATTAATGGGGACTATATGTCACGAGTTAATCATATTATCAATAACGGCAGTTTAATATAAATGATGCTCATTATTAAAATGTCAGCTGTGTTTGAAAAGATGCATAATAGGCTAAGTTTCATAGTGAATCAGCTCTTTCGCTGCGTTTTTCTTTCTTTATTTTAGATTAATAAAACACGGAAAACAGATTGATGTAAGTCAGGTCTTCAGCCAGCCTTTCCTGGGTAAATAAAGGTAAAACAAAAATGTAAATATTCCTGTATCGTCCATATTCTCGCTCATCACTGCGGGATAATCGACAGCAGAGAGGGACAGAGGGGAGGACGAAGGACGGGCGTCCTGGCGAACAGTTAAATGGGCTGATGGATGATTGGAAGGGCACCAGGAGAGACATAAACTTACAAATTGTTGTTCATAAACAGACAAATTGTCAAGGGAGAACAGGACTCAGGCGGACAGAAGGACAGATAAACAGGCGTACAGACAAGAGCAAAGGGCAACAAACAAGAGACAGACAGTGCTTTAGACAGACAGATGGACAAACACAGCAAGGTGATAGACGCGTAGTCGGCAGGATGGGAGCGCTATCGGCTCCGTGAGTCATTGCGTAGTGTGAGCTCTGTCTCTTGGCGTGCGTTCAAAACATGTACACTGTGCATACGCGAACGGAATTATCCATCCCTCCCCGCTTTAGTTCCTCTCCTCTGTCTCTCTGTCGCTTCTCTTTTTTCACATACGATCCAGTTCAGCTTTCTCATTTTCTCTATTTTTACAGATCCCTCCACCCCCCCCCCCCCCCCCCCCCCCCCACTCGCCTCCCCTGCC